TAACTGAGAGCAGTGAAATGGATTTAGGAAGCGTGTGGACTGGATCTTCCATATCAGTGATTTCAAACTATTTGGTAAACACAGAAGTGACATCCAGTGATTTATGCCTGCTGGTAATAAAAAAAATTCTCTTCCGGTGAACCAGCATTTTGGTTAGATTACTTTCTATTGAAGGACATTTATGGATAGAATGAAATGATTATACACAGTGGTTTTACAGGGTATTGTTAATTTAAGAGGTAAAAATTCCCACAAAACTACACACCCATTGGGGGTTCTAGAATGGCAATGGTGACATCAGTGAATCAAAACAAATTCAGTGACTGCAATGAAAGTTGATGGTGGGACACAGTGACATCACCTTAGAGCAAAGAGCTGATGTATCACAGGAAAGCTCCTTTTTACAGCTGTCAAAAGCCAGAGAGTTGGTCGCATGACCCTCAGTAAAACAAGAAAATATGCTTGTGTTCAGATATTGAGTAGACTTTCAATTTGATTCAGCTGAGTTTACACAAATTGACCTGTGTTCTAACAGGGATTCTGTATTTTGATATAAAATACCACTTTGAACTGATGTATTTTTTGCCTCTGGAAAATGATAAATCCTCTTACACTGCACTTCAGAAAGAGTCAGTGCCTTGCTTCAGTATACAGTTTCTTTGATAGCCTACATCCTTGCTCACTATTTCTGGAAGAGCTGTAACTATTTTGCAAGTAAGACTGATTAATTTTGTAGTATAATTTGCAAGTGACATTTACAAGGGAATATTGTGTGGGGATATCTGGGAGGGATATTGTGTTCAGACTTTTCCTGCTTGCCTGCCTACCCTCCTGGAACAAACAACACTGCTTCATTTTTCTTCCGTATTTTACAAAGTTAAAGTAAACACTGTGATCACACTGTTTACTTTAATTTCCTGCAGTGTGCCAGCAAAGCAGCAAATTGGCAGTCAGCAATCAAGAAACAGCCAGTACTGAAACAGCAGAGCTGCTTAGGAAAGCATCAATAATGCCAAATAATTTTTCCCTCTGTTTTAAAAATAAAATATTGGCTTCTATGAAGTTTCACTTCCACCCCAATCTTCTCTAAAGGATTTGAATTTTTTTTTTGTTTCATTTCATTTTCTTTTGGAAGAAAGCTGGAATTATGAGCAACACCTAATTTATATGGCCAACTCTTTATATAAAGAGATGGATTTACAAAAGTGGTAAATGCATGCTATTTATCTGCACAAATTCCATGGCATTTTTGCACAAAAGAAAGTTAACTTGTCTATAAATCAGTCTTATCTGGATATTTTTTATTTTCATGCCGAAAGCTCTAGCTGTGCTACTTCAATTAGGTGTATGATAACATGAACCTAAAGCCCCATGCATTACATTCAGAACACACATCTGCCCAAGAATGGAATCCTAAGAGGCAAATAATTATATTTTCAGAGGTTGCTCTCTCTCATCTAATACTACCTAAGCAAGGAATATTAATACCAAAGAAGTAGTAAGAAGAATGGCGCAGTATTTTGTACTTCAGAGGTTTAAAGCTTGACAAAGTGACTCATTTATTGATTTCTGGAAGATATTGTACGGAAGGAATTTATTGCTACGTAAGTTATAACTCCAATATACAAAAGAGGCCAGATCCTACAATCAGTTATTCTCCTGACTATGTGCATTCCTGCACATACTCTTACTGAAGACAATGAGATTATGAAGAGGATTAGTTTATTGTTAGTCTGGCCAAAGTTTGCCTTTGGAAAGTCCAAAATATGACCTAATTTATGGTGGTTGAAATCTTGTGGGAAAGATTGTAAGAGGATAATTATTTTAAAAGCCATGACTTTGACACCAGGAAATTAAATTCATATCTATATGTCTTTATCTATACACAGCAAATCCAATAATCTTGAGCTCTCTACAGTCACTTAGCCAGCTGGCAAAGGGAGCAAAGTAAAAACTAACAAACCCGATTCCTAAGGTATGCTGACATCAGTGATTCATGATTCACCAATAATGGTGCTAGGAAATAAATGTAACAGGGCATTATTGCCTTTTGCAGCACAGTAAACTCAAGGGAAAATGTCTAAGTGCATCACATTGAAAAGACAGAGCTGGGAAAGAAATAACTTTTACAAGTATTTAAGAGGTGTTACAAGCAAGTGAAAGTAGAGAAAAAAACGTAAACCTTTTAAAAACATTGGGAGTACCTATAAATAAAAAGGGACAGTTTTCCAGCTACAGGCTTAAGTGGACTAACACAAGAACTAGAATTTTTTTGTTCTCCAACATTTTCACAAGGAGAAAGAATTTAAATTGCTTGTTCCAGAATAAACCCTCGAAACAACAGTTCTGCTTTAATGGTACACCAGGATAAGCACAATGAAGTTGGTTCTGTGCTATGCAAAATTACTAATGCTGTTGACAGTAATTATGACTCTCACAACTTATCTAAATCACTAAAAGGGCAAATATGTAAACACAAAGTATTATATATATTTGCTAGAAAATTACTGTATTAGCAACTAATTGATGATCTCCTTTGAAGGTAGCTTTATACTATTTATGATAGAGTTTGGCCTGTATTTCTAATCTTTTTTAGAACCTACCCAATTAAAATCCAGGTTTCTTGTTTATGCTATTAAAGAACGACTGCGCAATATTAACAATGCACCATGGAACATGCTGCTCCAGAGAAATGTTGCCTTTCTTTCAGGGGCAACAGCCACATAGTTCTGATACAAGCTTTGTTGTTTGGCTAGAGGGTAAGTGACTTTGGTGGGTTGTTGAAGTATTTTACCAAAGAAAACATTCTCCTGATGTAAGGCTTGCTTCAAACCATTGCTGCTCAACTGCAAAGCACCACTAATACATCTAGTAGCTGTTTTGCCTGGGCTGACATTGCAAATTTCATTTTAAAGATTGAGTCTCCAAACAGTATAATTCTTAATAAACAATTAATTGATTGACAAGATCTGCAAATGTATATTTCACTCTACTGAGTTTTCTTTACATGCTCTATAAAAGTTTTTATGAAGTTTGAATGTAGATTTCCCTAAAAACAATACAGGCAAAAGAGAATGTAAGAAAAATATACTATATGAGGAAAAAGAACATGGAAGGTAAGATAAATCTACCCTTACACAAATGGATTTAATAGCACTATACTAGGTACATATATAATGGATGGATTTAAGAACATCAGTGATGTCAGTGAAGAACAACAGGTATCTTACTGTAAATATAATTAATGATTCATAATCATAACTTTCTAGAAAAGTACACACAACATAGAGGATACTGCATCATGGCAGATAAATAAATCCTGGTTTGATCTGTTTCAGGGAGCATTGCTAAAAATTGACTTGTTTTAATTCTTTCTCTGCATTATTCACAAGCATAGGCCCCTGACTCTGCAAACATAATGTACATTTAGCTTTCAAATCAACCAGCTTACTCATGGTAGTAAAACTGAATTAGTGCAAATACAATACTAGTGTAGTGAAGGCCATTTCTTCTTATTTCTCTCTGACCAGCTCGATAGACAAATAATGATTGACCTATATTTAGGGCAAGGCCAGCATTAAATTTAAGAAATATGTTTAGTGAATACATGACAAGTGATGCAAAGAAGAGGCTCAGGCAACAGTGTTTTTTCAGGCTTAAGAAGACAAGGCAAGAGGGAAATTATTGTTTTCTACAGCCACCTAATGGGAGGCTATGGGGGTTTAGAGGGGACATGAAGCTAAACTATTGTTTGAAATGTACATAAGAGGCAAAAGTTACAAGCTACAATAAGAGAAACCACAACTAGATATTGAAAAAAGTTTTCAAAAATATAGTAGTCATCACACTTATTCTGCCTAGGCTACCTAGTCACGTGTCTACCATGCTAGATACTAGAATGGGGGCCCAGAGATGTATGTAGTTTTCATTCTTTATGATACTCAAATCTCACTGGACAGGTCCCTGAGTAACCTTCTCTAAGCTGGACCTGCTCTGAGTGGGAAGCTGAACCAGATGACCTCCAAAGGTCTCTTCCAAACAAAATTTTTCTTTTTTTCTTTTTTCTTTTTAATTCCTTACTCTTTATTATTTTAGCCACCTTTATTTCTCTCTAAACATTTCCAGCTTATAAAAGGGTAGGCAGCTTTCTTAGGGAAAATGTCTTTGCTTTCTAAATTTTCTTAAAACAAGCAAAATTCCAAGTACACCATAGCAAGTGAGCTATAAAAATCCAAACTAAACGTGGGCCACTTACCTATGCAAATACTTAACTGAAGTGCCTCTGTTACTGCTAAATTTCCCAAGATGCGTGAAACAAAAAACCTGATCAAAAGGATGCTTAATATTTATAACTATTTCTCAGGACACTTAAAATTTAGAAGATTCATACGAATTCAGCCTGCTTTCAGCTGGGCATAGCTATCTAATAGAAGAAATAGGTACTAGCGCTACTCATAGTGGAGGACAACTCAAAAATACAGGCAGGGATATCGTCCTTTTCTTCAGATGTAGTGGAAAAATTAACGTTTGCCTCATATGCAGGCATGTCTCTGTGGCACAAAAATGTTCACAGTCCTCTAGAGTGGCCCAGGAGCTGTGTTTTTGATCGTGATCAGCTGCTGGGAAGAGTGGTCTAGTGTTGTGTATGTGTGGATGAGATGAGAGGGCTGTAATGTGGCAGTCATGTCAACTCTATGCTTCAGAAATCCTGAGTCACAAGGGAAATTGCTGAAGCTGAATCAGAGAAAATACATGAGCATCTCCCATGGGAAAGAAAAGCTGGAAAACATATTATACTCAACTGAGATGCATCGTATGCTATATTAAAATATTAGACTGAGAGTAAGTTGTAGAATTTTTCAGAAACAAAGTTTTTGGCTTTGAGAACATGTTAGTGTAAGGTGTTGAGACATAAGATTTAATCTTTGAGCTAATGAGCTCTTGAGTAAGTTTTTCAAGCAAAAACATAACAAAGATGCATATAGGTAAAATCTGTTTACCGTAGCAGAATGTTATGCCATTTCCTGTATATCCCTGGGAGCAATAGCAACCTGTTGTCCCACCCTGAACTTCACACCTGGCATCTTTGTGGCATGTCATGTTGCAGCTTGCAGAAGTATAGCCATAGTCCAGCAGACTGGAAATCAGAACTGGAACAAAGGAAAATCAGAGTCATGACCACAAAATTGGTGTATTCCAGTAAACTTATCATCATGGACTCAGTATATCACAGGATGGGGCAAGGGCCACCAATTATAGGGACTTCTCTGGTAAAAATATCCAAGGGCTAGAAACAGCAGACACTGTAGATTAAGATACTGTGTATGTACTCAACCAGTATAAAATTGGTAAACAACATCGAAGTTATTCAGTGATTTGGGGAAAACATTTGAAAACCTTTCAATGCTCTCTTAGTACTCAGTAAAGCAGAGACATTTATTTGTACTCTGAATTACGTATTGAGTGTAATCCAAGCTGCCCTATACATATCAAGTAAAAATACCAGAGTTCTCCTAATGGGAATTTTTATTTTTATAAGCACTTCCATACCTGTGTAGCTAACACATATGCATGGTCTGAGACATTAAAATGACATGTCATACTATTTACAGCATTATGATATTAGGGTTTAAAAACTTATCCAGACTATTTAAAGCTAATCTCTTAACATACTGTTTCTATGTTATGACAGTTTTGTCTTCTTTTTTCCATACATAGGATGACTCCTAAAGGGTATATCTACTTTCCCACAGCATGAATACGTATGGTTTTCCACACAAAGAAAAAAGGAATCTCTCCCTTTAAGGAAACTATTATAATTATACACACCCTGTAACAGGTTAAAAATGAAGCAGCTAACTCAGAAGGGAAAGTAAGTTTTTTAATTTTTAATTCATAAATCGTTAGTAGAACACCATGGAAGTTGCAGAACACAAAGATCCTTTTGGATGCAGTCTTGTTTTTCCCTACCCAAATATCATTGTCGATAGCCTACTGTTACAACTACAGGTCTCCTTGCTTCAGGAAATCTCACTGAGGCACTGTTTTCTTGGACGAATTAAAATGTCTCAAAATATGCAAAAGACTAAAACTTACACACTTTTTTTTTTTTTTACAATTATATATAATCCATATTGATTTAGTTATCACCAAGTTTCATCTTTTCCCTCTATTTTTGAGAGAGGAAACCATTTTCCAGAGATTAAAACAAAAACCTGTGTGATTCTGTTGACATTTTACTGTTCATAACTTGTGAAATCTAAACCTCTCCCAAGCAGATGGAGAGGAGAAAAAAAAAATAATAAACACACCACAAGCCCACAGAACCCCACAATGTTTCTGTTTTTTACAGAACAAAACCCACAGTGAGATAAAGGCTGGTATTTGTGGGATTTGGGTTTGGAATGATCCTAACCATGTAATTACTGAATCTAGTAGCAGCCCTGATCAGAGCTAAAGGGAGTTTCAGTCCCATGTATCCAGCAGTTTTCCACCACCTCCAACACATCCTTTCTCCTTGCCAGACCCCACTCCCTTCCCACCTGCCACTCGCTCCCCAGGGAAGGAGATTTCACCTACCTAGGAATGGAAGCAGTTTCATTGGTGATGCTGTTTGCTGTGCAGTGCCTGGTGCAGAGCCCCTGTGTCACAGAAAAAATTCCCTTCCTTAAAATGTATGAACATGTGCAAAATATGTACACATGCCTATCAGGAAAGCGACGTGCTGTTGTGGGCTCAGCCCTGACACTGCCCTTTTTCCCAAGCTTCACGTTTCCAAAAGCTCCTGAGACTCACAGGCAGGACAGGAAGGGTCAGGAGGGGCTTAGGACTGAGTCTTCTGGCAAGTAGGGAATAAATTAAGGGAATAAATGAGAAAGTAAAAGAGAAGCAGAAGCCTGGGTCTTGAAAGGGATATCAGAGAAGATTCAGGGCTGAGTGGGCTAAAGGACCTTGTGCCTGGAGTAGTGCCTAGGACAGAGGGAGGATGAAGCTGGAAGGGGTGAGCTGAAGCCTGGTTGCAGAAGTAATAAAGGAGTAGCAGAAGAATGGTGGAGCAGATCAGGGAGAGTGAGGAAGAGGTGGAGGATATTAGTAACTACCTCAGGGTTTACGAGCTTGAAGTTAATGGTCTACAAGCTTCCTTCCACCTTTTCCTGGTGAGCTGAATATATGTGAGCCCCAAGACCTGTTTTTTTTTTCTGTTGTTTTCTTTTTGAGACAGTCTTGACCGACTGCAATTGTTCTTTCTACCGCTTTCTTCAGTTTTGAGATAGGTCCTTACTGCAGCCAAGCAATGCTGCCTTAAGGATAATGGTTGGTGAGGGAGGTACAGGAAATCCACTGAACTCTGCTTTGTGAGAAAAACAAAGACGTATAGGCAGGGAGGAAAGAGGCAGGAAGGAACTGTACGGCCAGGAATCTCAGGAGCTGATGAAGCCAAAGTTTCTAGAAGTTCGTAGGACTGAAACAGGGTGTTGTGTAATAGGACATATTCAATATAGGTTTAGCATGTTTCTGTGTTAAACGTGAGAGCAGTTCTGTCCTCATTATAGTACCCTAATTGATGAGACCTCAGCATGTACTTACATTATGCGTGGACATGGCATCATTTTCTCTAATCCTGTTATAGTTGATGTGGATACTGTCATTACCCAGCTTCCCAGAGATGATGACTTACATGCTGAAGCTCTGTAAAACTGGAGCATTGAGATATGCCTGTCTTTATAGATGGAAGCCAAGGGACATGCACAAAAAAGCATGCTGCTGGATGAGTGGAGGATCTCTCTAAACTAAATAAAATGTATGTGAGGCTATGGAAAGTCAGTGTGACAAAATATTTCATGTCTGACAAGAAAGTTCTGAGGTTGGAACTTTGGCAGGGAACTGACAAGAAAGCATCAGCTTGCTTTTAAGAATTACCTGTAGAAGTGGCAACATTTTTTCTAAAGTTCTTAGGAACTATTTGCTCACCATCACTTTCCAGCTTCCTGCTGGCTGGAGTTCAATGAGTTAAACTCTACTTGGGCCAGGGTGTTTCGAGGCATGTAGAAATAGCACGTAGGTGTCTGGCTGGCACAAAATACTTCTGTAGCACCTTGGCAAAGAGAGAGGAAACTCCAGTAACCGGATGTTAATTTTGTTGAACCACAGAATAATGAACAAAGGGTCCAGGTGTAGGAAGACTGTTCTCTTGTTTGATTTTTTTGAGGGGGTAGGACTTAAAGGGGAAGAGAGGAAGGGACTAGGAGTTAGATTGTTTTGTTAAGTTTTCCCGTAATCTGATGCACAGAGACTCAGAGGAACAGAAAATCAGATGGATTGAGTGGAGCTCTGATCTGAATGTCCTGTCCTTCATGCTGACACGTTAAACTGTAAGCTTTGCTTGTCTGTACTAACTTACAGATCCTGCTGCTAATTTCATCTAAGTAAGGGCTGGGTTTGGAAACCTATAATGCAGAAACTATATCTTATTGCCCTTTGTCTTTTTACTCCCCAAAATCAAGCTAAGATGTGTTTAACAATGAGTAAGTGAAGAGAGAGAGAAGTTACAAGCTAAAATTCAGGTCTTAAGAGCTTTAAATATATTTTCTAAAAGTCAGAGATATACATTTCTATTTCATTTAGACAACAGCTTCTTGCAAGGGCTGTTTGGATAGACTGGTTAGACAGCAATTTCATGAACCACAGTGATAGTAAATTTATAGTTAAAACTTTAATTCCTTTTCTGATTCAAGGGCTACAGAGAAGTTGTGGATGACTCAGAAAAAAGCCATAATCTCACTATAAGGAGACAAATGCCTCCTTTCCTTTCTGCTAGAAAAACACATGACAACTTGCTTTTTAGTAGTCAATGGTCCAAACTTATCAAGAGAAATATGCAAATCACATCAGAATAGTTTCCATCTGGAATAACATTGTTAAACTACTTACTCCACTCACAGGCATAGTGGACAACGTCAAAGGCAGTCCATAGGTCTAATTGGGAAATGGTTTACATTGTGAGGAGGGAGTGCATAAAGAAGAAAGATGTCAAAGAACAGAGCAAGGACAGAAGAAGGAAGGTTAGGTTAAGAGGAACTGGGTGATAAAAGGAGCTTCGATCAGATTTAGAAGGCAATAGGGAGACAGGGAAGAAGAGGGATTTAGGAATATCTTAATGAGATCTCAATACTGGGAGCAGTGGATTACTTTTGCATTAGACTACTTTAAAAACTGGCTAATGTGAGTGTCATTTAGAGGCTGAAGACAGCAAGGTCGTAGTAGGCATGGATGTGGAGAAGGATGGACTTGACAAATATTTTAGGGGGAGAATGAAGAAGAAAGGGGAGATTTCTGAGACATTTTAGAGATTAAACCAGGAGGATTTACTGATAATATCTATTGGCACACAGGTATAAAGAGTTAAACAAGTGGAGATGAGCAGATGAACACATAAGAAAGCAGACACTTTCAAATTTGTACTGTCAAAATTTTCAAAATACACTGAGAATAAAATATTGAGGTGTCACAAAACTGAAGGATGTCTGTCTTTACAGGCAGGGAGAAGGGACATGCACAAACATGCATATTCCTGGAAGACTGGAGAATAGTCTAAACTAAGTCAAATGGTGCAAGAATGTGGAATGTCAGTACTGCAGAATCCACCCCTGCTTGCCTCAAAATAAGCATTAAAAATAAATGGTTTATGGAAACACTCCAAAAGACAGCTTTTCCATTCTTAAATGTGGGAAGCAAAAGCCTCAATTCTATACTTAAATGTGTTGTTTGTTTTATAAATAGGCTCATTTATCTTTGCAAGACCGAGTTAAGAGGACATGAATATACACAGGCTAACATGCTTGACTTCAAACCACACATTTTTTGATTACCGATCACTGTGATTACAACATCTTATTGCACTGTGAGTGTAGAATTCTCAAGGTTGTTGGTTTTTTGTGCTTTTTTTTTTTTTTTTTTGGTGGTGAACTGATAGACATCAGCCTGTTCTCAGAAATTACCGGATATTTTCCAAGCTTTTATCATGAAGAAATGCATTTATTCACAGTGGCTTAAAGGTAATTGGGATCCTGATTGTGCAGACAATGCTGCAAAACTAACGCCCACAGCTGATGAGGGAAGAAAGTTAACATTTCCTAGAGCTCAGTCTCAGGTAGCTCTCAAAAGATAAATATAAAAAAACTGCTTTAATTCTGGAAACTGCCTATAGTACCAACAAAGGAAGTAAAACTGAACAGTGCTAGTATTAGGTGTGCTTCTTTTAAATTAACATAAACATGACCAACTCTATGAAAGACATTTATTCCTTTGGTGTGATCAAAATTGGACTGCTAGCTGGATATATGCCAAAGATTCTGTCTACATTTGTAGTTTTATATTACACCAGGGAAAAACAAGTGTGGTATGTAAGGATCTGTATTTCTTTCTCAAATTAGCAGGTAAGTATGCCAGTAGATACTTAAGAAGAGCCAAAGGATGTCATCTGATTGTCATCTTATAAATCTATCTGCCAGAGGTTGCAGACCCCACTTTCAGACCACTATGGATCATACTGAGAGGGGGTGGTAAGAGTGTGCATCAGACTGAGAGACCCTGAGTGCTCCTGTAGGGTTCATAGATCTTCAGTTTCCTTGTCACTGGGTACCACATATATTCAGCACCCTCAGACTCTGGTATCTAACCCATCAACATTGTGCTCAACATAATCCATTTTGTGCATGCAGAACAGCCGCATGCACATGCATACACTTAATTTATCTCTATCACATAAGCACATATATGTATCAGTTACTGAATTGGGCTTATATATATTTGATATGAATAATAATAAGATGATCATGACCTTCCCTTTCAGCCTTTGCTTTTTTTGATAAATGACTCTTCATTTGAACCACCAGCTTTGCTGCCAAAAGGAAAATGGGATATAAAACAGACTGAGGATGCACAAATGTCTTGGATAAAGCTTTTTCTCTGATGCTTTCTATTTTTTTTTAATATTAAATCCATTTATGGATTCCATACCAAATCCTATCACTTCAGGAATTTAGATGGTCTTTATACTACTTCAGAAATATTTCATTTATCCTAGTCACTAGAGCAATTACAGGGTTGTTTTTTTTCTAGTCAATAAAGTCTGGATGCAATTGAAAATGTACTTAAATGTCAGCTCAAAATAATGAATTTACATGGTTGGTTACAATTATTTTCAAATAAAAAAAATCCAGGGAAAACATTTTCTGAACACAGACTAGTCTACCATAGAGCAGCCTACCTCAGAGGACTCTAGCTCAAAAGTATTGTTAGCATCTGTTTTATAACTGCCTCACCTCACCTTCCTGTCTGAGTGCTTCATGAATGCTTATCATTTTATGTGCAAACATCATATTCCATCTGAACATACAGGGCTGAATATATCTCCTGGGATGATGTAACTCTAGGCAATTCTGAAGCAATAAACACACAATCACACGTAAACATATGCATGCACACATCCTACTAAATCTGCGTAGCTATGTCCATCTGAAAGAAATTGCACATTTCAGTGCTCAGAGCTAGTTTCTTTCTGCTCTTTGCTTTACCTTGGATGAAGTCATGAAATGAGGGAATTTAAAGTGAATGCAATGTTTCTGAAAGCCAGATTAGCTGCCCTGAAATTGCGCTCTGTTTCCACATCTGCTATAACACAGAAGAGATGTACAGGCTGAGTATAAAGGTCCTCACAGCTAAAAGGAATAAAGTAATTCCATTTCCAATTTTGTTTATGTTCTCCTGGGACTGCTCATGTTATGGTACTTGTAATGGTAGTCACATCTCTGCAGGATAGAGTGAACCTCATGAATAATTACACCAATGAAATGCCAGATTATCAGTTGTTTTAATCCACACTCATTTTATACTAGAGCATTAGAAGAGAAGGGCTCTTACATTGCAGTGCTAATATGCTAACTGTCAGATAACCAGACAAGCTCTTAGAAGACAAAAACTAACTCTGTTTAACTCACATGGGAGAGGAGTTCTGACACTCCTTGTTCATCTATCATATACTCTTTGCCTTGAAGTAGTGGCAAGTCACTGTCCTAACCTGTCTAGATTTTTACCCTCGCAACACTCCAGGCAATATTCCAGCAGGCCAGTATGCCACAAA